AAGACATTGTTCCAAGGAAGTCCATAAATTCTGTAGCAACATCTATCGGTAGCCATGCAACAACAGGAAAGTAGTTGGAGAACTGAAAGGCAATCATCTAATTGCGAAAATGGGCCTGAGGTCGCATTAACCAAACTCGGGCATTGGGAAAGCACGCGAGAGAGTCGACTGAAATGCTGTTTTCCAAACAGAGGTGTACAGCGATAGGGTCACTCATTGTTAACAGATGAGAGGGTTGTGAAAAATTCGACGGATATCACCAATCAACGGCGTCAAAAATAATGTGGCTTCACCATGTCGGGATAACCAGATGTGTGGTAGTCGGATTTCATCACGTCGGGGTCACCAGATGTAGTAGCTTGATCTTGGCACTACCTTACAACCCTCTAATTAACAGCCCAAGACAACGTGAGTAGAGTGGAGAAGAGGCGAGAGCGGACACGACTGGTTTATTGACGTCAATACAACCAAGTGGCTTTATGAGCGTATGAGTTCTCGTGCGTAACAGACGAATGCTGACAAAGGCCAATAACAAAAAGGGGTGAGTAATTGGTCACTCGGGCCCTCATGCATGCACACTCACGCGGGGTGGCTGTCAGTCCACTGCAGCACAATCTTCTTTACAGCAAGATGATCTAATGATCTCACAGCACAGAAACACTGCCTTTTCAAAAGAGTGATCCTGATATGCGATTTGTACTACACCCCCGGCCCTAACATATACCAGTCACGACCACCATGAAGTAACGGCGACGGATGGCCTAGGCACTCAACCCAGCCGCCCCTTTTATGGCCCTCAACTTCACCCGCTTACCTTAAATTTGGGCCTGAGGCGACAATTTTGTTGCTTTCATAGAAGTTGGTGTCCAACTCCCAAGAATTGGTACCGATTTCCTTTGGTAGTTTCATTTACTAGCTAAATTTGAACCAAACGAGCAGATTAAATAATGCTATTTTGCATCACACGATTCCTATATGACTTTCCCATGGTTGTCAAATTGGCCCATATACCAATTCATGCATCACATTACATATAATGACCCGCCAATAACCGCTTGGAACAGGCGACTTGCACATGATAATCTCGAAGCAGCCGAAATACAATTTGAACAAATGTGCTGTCTTGGGATATTTCTTACCAAGAACGGTACCTAAGACATCCAGCCACGAGTGACTCGTCGGCGTTAAAGTAGCCCTATATAATGTCACAGTGCTTGACTTTTTAGTCACTCCTCAAATCCACAATTTTTCGTACGATGTGCTAATGTACTGTGAAGTCTTGATCTTGTACAGGCCTGTCACTGAATACCTAATGTGCCCGTAGACGTCCTCACTACTGCTGTTGCTACTCCGTTAGTGTCAAGTGTCTTGAAAAGGGAGGAACTACTGGGTTATTGAACATGAATCAACATGATTCCCCGTAGAATCATCCAATTACGTTCGTCGTCTTCTCGGTTTGGAGAATTACAATGCACTGTCTATATCTACTGACTAGCATTGCTACCCCCCCCCTACGATTGCCCCTATTAGCTGCTGAGACTAGTCGATATTCACCTACCGAAGACCTGAATTGCGAGCAGGTGTGGAGCAGCCAAGTAAGCTGCAAATTCAAGACATAGTGGTACTTCTGGCATGTCAAATGGGCACCCGTGACTACAAAGGCACCACATTGAATGATCGTGTGATAATTCATGTGTTTGTTCTTCTGATTTTGGAAGCTTTGACTTGCCCGAGAATGTTTAGTTTAATTCAGCATGTTCATTCGGTGTAAAGTTAAGTAAAAACAGAAGTAAAATAACTTCTTAAAAGTAGGCTGTGCGTTGTGTGCAATCAAAATATGGTCATCTTGAAATCTGAACGGAAGCCAACAGTCATTGACGGAAGATAACCGGAAAGCATGGCGGCATTGTGAAAAATCTGTAGATGTTCGAGACAAACTGCTGTTGCCAATGCAAATCTTTTTTTCCAGCAAGATATCTAAAAGGTTGATCGTATGGAAAGTGGTGTGTGATGCCTGATCACTGCCATGAGTTGAGGATTCTTGACCGAGTTGAGTGATCAAATATAATGAAAGGAAACGGTTAAAAACGAACCCTTAGTCGAACTCACTGAGAGCCGAGAGATGCGTTTAGGTTTAGAAAGGCGAACTTGAAATTATGAGACCAGGTTGCATTAAAAAAATTTGAGAGATGAATTAAGGCTGGTAAAATATGGCAAGATTGCTGCAGCGAGATTGATTGTTAGAGGGATATAATCGAAATCGATATTCGGCGCCAGACATTTAGACATAGTCTGGAGGTTTGGCGTCGTCCAGAGGTGATTGCGGCCTGAGATGAAACCTGGATAAGCTAGACTTGATATGAACATTAAAGATAGGTGATTGTAGAAAGTAAAAGCAACGTTGGGCAAAGCCGCGGAATCAGGACCTAGAGTCTGGCTTGATTGTAAGAGAGCCAAACGGTTTAAGGATTAGCATTTCCATTAGGGCATGGGGCAGAGAATTGCAGCGCCATTTAATTTGCCCCAGAAGATCGCCAGTTGCCGTCACGTAGAAGGCAGAATAACTTTAACCCGAACTAACCAATTTTATTACAATTTAATTACAAAAGAGTATAGCAAAGTATTGCAGTAACTGATCTTAAGACGAATCACATCTGAATGTATGCAGTACCACATTTTGTGATGCGGATTGTAAGTCAAACCAGCCTAAGGAATAGTGGATGCATGCGCTGGGTTTGAAAAATAACAAAAACAATTTGACACGGTAGATTTTACTATTATAGATTTTGAGTAGTGTTTGAACAAGAATAGCAAAGTAAAACATAGGATTTATCGAAAATAACATGGCAAATGTTGTGAGGGTGGAGACAATTTGAAAAAAAGGCAGAACGTGGTCGATGTGACATCTAATCGATAAGGAGCGATATATACTGTCTTCGATTTTCATAACAGATAGGGGACATCGATTTGGCTTCAACAAAGTAATAGACTACATTACAACGCTTTACAAATCTTCAAATGTTGAGACTAGAACCATGTTCACGCTGCCTTTTGTGTGGATAGAGCAACACGCTGCCCATCGTGGTATTAGGCACAGCCATTTTGCCTTTGCCAAACACACACATTAACCATCACGAGGCTTATTCAGTTGACTTGAAGAGGTCACTTGAAGCAATGCCTTTGTAGTCGAGGGTGCCCGCGTTGCACATCGCCTAGAGTGGGCCACAAGTGCCGCTATATCTGAAATTTATGGCTTGGTTTTTTGCTCCATCTTAGAGTCAACGTTACTCAAAAAATATAATATGTTGAAAGCAATCCTTGAAGTATTCTCTGACAGATATGGCGAATGATCTTAATGTACTGATTCGGTGACATTTTCAAAGTATGGCGAGAGATGGTTCAAAATGTACTTTGTATCTAGTTGATTGCCCAAGTCGTATGATAGATTCTTCTCATCAAATCTCACCGACAAATTACTTTTAGTTGGATTGACCAAAAAAGGTTTAGATACTTTGACTTAGCATTCAAAATTATGACTAGGGAATGCTTGCACAGTTTCGATTCTCTAAGAAGTTGTAGTATAAGTCTTTGTGTGACAGGTCGCTGTAAGTTTAATTTCGTGAATCAGAATGTTTCAATTTACACTTTATCCAACACACTGCCAATGCAATGACGTGAGTAAATTGTGCTGAAGAAATCGAGGTGCTAAACTGGTGGACAATCAAAGAACACGGTGTTCATTAAGTTAGCATGTGGTTCACATGCGTGTGTCGTGTTTAAAAGTCCACCTTACGGTTTGGAATAGCAACTCTGCAGAACTCACTGAAATGCCACACTTCAGTGCTTCTGAATGCTTCTTGTGCGTGCGTAGTCTGTTAAAGAGCAACTCCACGCCCCTTTCATGGCATCTTCTGGTTGTGCTGACTCAGTTGGCAATGCGCATTTGTGCAGGTTCTTCGCGTACCGGCGTTGGGTAGGTGGACAGAAAGGTACACTGTGAATTTCACTCTTCCGATAGTATGTGCAACACAATGCACAAGAATCGGCGTTAGATACTTGGAGTTCCCACAACCAAATCTCATATTTAACAGGGCAGAGATACATGAATTTAAACTACCCGAAAGGAACGTTTGGCACGTACGATACGTATGTTTAATGTTGGATGTTTCAGAGCTGTTTTTCCTTGTCTTCCTCTACTGCTATGAGCGACTTTAAAATCACAGAATGATTTAGGATCAAGTTTTACTTGACCCGGAAGAATTTTGAAAGTACCTCCAGAAGAAGAACACCACAAGTGCAGTCGAAATGCTGCAGATTGTCAGTGTTTTGTGTATTACCAGGTGGTAATAAACATCGATTTAATTTATAACATGTGGAAAATATTTTACCTGATACAGATTACTGAAGGATTGGTAAGAAATTGTGAAAATCCGTAGAATAAACATGCTCATGGCAAGACAGATGAAACCTCATAATCGAAGTAAACTGATTATTAGGCAGTCAAAAAAATATTTGTAAGGGATTTTTGAAATTTATTCAACGTATGCAATTGAAGTGTGGCAATGTTAAATATTTTTTAAGTTTCACAGCATCCAAACTGGAGGTAAAAACATTTGTTTCTGACAAGGATTTGCCACAAGAAGCTCTGACGCAACATATTTACGAAATAAAGAGTACATCGGATTTGAGTGACACACGTGTGAAATGCATCGATTGGCAAACAGCTGCTGCCACCAATCAGAGCATCAGGCTTCACTAGTATTTAAATTGCCATGAAAAATGCTCAACATTATTAGTCCAGGTAGATCTCAAAAAATTCATGCAATTTTTTTAACATATTCCGAAGTAACTTGTTAACAAAGGCATTCTCCTTACGTTTTGTAGATATGATAAAGAAGATTATTTGCCTTCTTGTTCTGACTTGGTGCGCCGGATCAAGTCCTTTAATGAACAGGACCCGTCAAGCCGGCTTAAATGAAACCAAAGAGCATGTCAAAGGAATGTCGACAGAGTCGCCGACGCTAAAAATTCCACGAAGTGATGGACCAACATCAAACGAACCAGCAACTGAAGAACCACCAACTGACGAACCACCAACTGATGAACCATCAATTGAAGGACCACCAACTGAAGGTCCACCAACTGATGAACCACCCATTGAAGGTCCACCAACTGACGAAATACCAACGGAAGGTCCACCAACTGATGAACCACCAACTGAAGGGCCACCAACTGATGAACCACCAATTGAAGGTCCGCCAACTGGTGAAATGCCAACTGAAGGATCACTAACTGATAAACCACCCATTGAAGGTCCACTCACTGAGGAACCAACAACTGATGAACCGCCCATTGAAGGTCCATCAACTGACGAAATACCAACGGAAGGTCCACCAACTGATGAACCACCAACTGAAGGGCCACCAACTGATGAACCGCCCATTGAAGGTCCACCAACTGACGAAATACCAACGGAAGGTCCACCAACTGATGAACCACCAACTGAAGGGCCACCAAC